CGGGGCCCTTCCCCAGCGGGTCGGCGGACCGGGGCGAAAATCAGCAACGGTGTCAGTTGCTCTTTCATCTGACACTAAGGAAGGCCAAGCGGCTTTAAAACCCCTGTGGGGCAAAGAAAGCCTCGTTAGGAGGATGAGCTCGTAAATACACAGCGACTGGTACTCGTCCGTCTGTGTGCTACACCCGTGAAAGCTCGCCTTCCTGCTAGCATCGCTCCAGAGGCAGCGGGTCAAGAGTTCCCCATCCCCCAGTACTGCACGCAGTTCATGGCCAAATCCCCCCGCTGGTTTCGAGCTGATCTTGCTCTCACTTAAAGCGGAAAGTTTCCTATTCCAAGTTCCTTACTGATGTGCTCTGCAAGACGGATTCGCTTGCAGAAACCTCCTACTGTCCCTTAGAGGCCTTTTTTGTGTCATATCCTTTCTTATAAAAGAACGGCATCTACAGAGATAACCCTATGATTCCATCTCTCTTCTTCACTTCTGTCTCCTCATTAATTGCCCCCAAGTAATGTGCAGACCTGCGCTTAGGAGGACTTCCTTCCTACAGGAGTGGATGGTTTTGATCTGATGCAGAATATGGCTTAAAGAATCACGCGGAGCAGTAATTTCTAACTGTTCTCTGTAACTCATTATGTTACCTGAGTTTATAGCCTCCAACTGTAATCCCCAGGAGGGAACCACCCTTCTCGTTAGCAGCCATTCAATTGGCTTAGCTAAAATTTAAATGTATAGCTTCCTCCTCGGGCAGCCAGATGAAGCAACCGCTGTCTCTGTGTGTAACCTGTGCTCGCACATGGCACTCCCTGAATTAGCAACTGAGCTTCGTCCCTGCCCGCTTCTGAGCGCAGAAGCTTAGGGCGTGTGTGAGGATGACATGAACGATGGCTTCTTGCCAGAAACGGTCACAGAGGAAGCTCTGTTCTCATCTACCTGATAAGGATCAGTCTGTGGTTTGAGTAAACTCCATGAAAACGTCTGTTTCTCCAAAAAGCTGTACTTGTTTGTAATGTTCTTGCTTGTAGCATCCTGCCAAACGCCTTTCCTCATGTCGAGCCAAGAGCCAGGCAAGCTGTTCCTGCACTGCCATGTACATGCCTGATCCAGGGAGTGTTTTTATAGACACAGAATGGAGAGAAATTTTGACCCCCTATAATTTACTGAATATCAGATGCTGTGCAATATTGTTCAGTCATGTCTGAGCTCTTCAGATTAATGTGAGGAACAGGAAAACTTCAGATGCTGTGTAGTTTCTTCTCAGCTCGCTCAAACGCGGTTAGCTTGAGTGGCTAGAGGGGATATTGTTGCTATCTTGCCTCCACTATCCTGAATGGATAAGTGTAGAGAAAAGGATTTTCTCTCTCTCCTCTAAACATAAGTGTACTTTTGCTCATTTTGAGTGAAAGTATATTTCTTTTTCAGCTGCTAATTCTGGGATTAGAACTCAAATGTGCTGCTAATTGAGTAGTCATTTGAAGGCACCAGTGTTTCCAAGGGGTTTAGTGTGAATTGTTCTGTTTTCACGGGGGTTTTTTTCTTACTCATCTGGTCTTGTCAAAAGCATCTTATTTTTCTTTATCTTCCTTTGACACTTAGATAAGTGATAGGGTGGAGAAAAGCACAGGAGACACTTAAGAAGTGCAAGCATAAACTAACTTTATCTAGAAATACCAATGTGCCTGTGTGTGTTATACATAAGAACTCATCCATATGGAGCCAGTCCCTTAGGGAGCAGGGCACAGGTGTGAATGCAAAGCTTAGCCTGTTCTTGTGGGAAATGTTTTCTCTGAGTACAGGCAATGCCACACACAGAGCAGCTGTGTTGCATGCATATACACCTTGGGTGTGTTGCAGCAGTGCATGGATGCCTTGTCTATCTGATAAGGGCAGGTGCCAGGTACCCACAGCGGTTGTACAATCGTTGTCCTTGATGCTCGTCTAAAAGAAAGAGAATAAAAAACTAAGTCATGAAGCCAAATCCTTTATGCCTTTGTGTCCCCACACACATGTGTGCGCCTAGTGTTGAAGGGTGAGAATTCTAGCACTGAAATGGTGTGCAATGAATTAGCTGGAGAGATTGTTCATAAATGTAGGACTGTTTTGTCCTTGGCCCATCGAGAGAAAATCTTCCCATCTTAGGACTTGCATTCTGTAAAGAACTGTTGAGTTGAGTGAGTGGAAGGATTTCTTGTGAAGGTATGGGATGGAAAGTCAGCATACATCTAGTAAGAGTCTGGAAATAGTGAAAAACATTGTCACAGAACTAGTTTATCTCTTGGTAACTTATGTAGGGACAGCATTCCCTTGGTAACTTATATAGGGACAGCGTTCCCTTCTTACCACACAGAGAAAGCCATTGGGGTTTGTGATGTGTTCAGCTGTGATGGTGAGGAGGCCATTTGAGCTAATTCTCCTGCAGGCAGTGGCTATCTGTAGCAGGTATGCCACGCTGGGAGCACAGGAGTGGAGATGGCTTGTCTGGATTCCTGATTCTGCCGTGATAGCTTCCCCGATGTTACCAAAAGGCTGGATTATGGGAGGTTATGTAGGAAAGCAGGCTGTGAAAGAGTATAAAAGCAGCAACAGATGTGAGGGAAAAACCTCTTCAGGCTTACGCTTTGCACTCCAGGGCACAGTGAATTTACAGAAACATTGCAGGAATATAGAAATCTTCTATAACTTGCCAGGGCCTATGCAGCAGGACAAAGAAATGTGCATCTGGCCTTGATGATAGCAGCAGGAGAAATGGCTGGGGGAGGCAGTGATCTGGCCTTGTGTAAAATAAAGCCCTTGAACAAGTGTTGTCACTTTTTTTTTGCAGGTGATTGCCCTTGTGATGGATTCCTTCACAGATATTGATATCTTTGGTGACCTTCAGGATGCTTATAACAACCGCAAAGTCCCTGTCTATATCCTTCTTGACCAGGACTTTCTACCCCATTTCTTGGAAATGTGCAAGAACTTAGGAGTTTGTCCTGAGCAGGAAAGTGTAAGTACTAAACGTGGGTGGGTGTGGGGTTTGTTTTTAGTTCTTGTGGTACAGTTAACGGTTATGGATACCAAAGATACCCTTCTATAAAACATCAGACTCTCTTGAAAGACTAAAGCATCTTGTCTGTTTGATAACTAATAGAAAAGGGGAATTTTCTGAAATGTTTCTCAACTCTTCAAGACCAAGGCTCAATATTGCTTGGTTTCAGTAGTTTCTAATCCAACATGTGAAACTGCTCACAAACTCAGTGAAAACAAAGTAGAAAAGGCACATCTACTCCTATCCTACGCTACCCATATGTAGGAGCTACAGCCACGCTGTGCAGCTCCCCGGTGTGCTGGGCGGAGGGTGTACCTGCGATCCCTGTCCTGAAGAAGCAGCAATTTTCAAGCATTTAATTTTGCAACATCTAAGTAGCTTTATTCTTTGGCTCAAGGAGCTGCTTGCTAAGGAAAACAGAAACACAGGAAGCTCAAGGGTGGTATAGCTTTGGTAACACTTGTTTTCTTCACTAAGGCATAGCTGCTTTCTTTTAAAAGGGTTTGGATTATGTGACCCAGGTGGTTTACTTAATTCCTCTGAATATAAGCTGACATGACTGTGTTATGTCTTGGCTTGGACAGGCTTGTGTTCACCGCAGTGAGAGTTTCTCTGGATGGGGAGCACTCCTCACTTTGTGGGCAGTAATTAATTGGAATGAGCTGTTCTCTCCAGCTTGACTCTCCTAATGAATTAAGCACTGTGTAACTAGTGAGACTCACATACAGACAACATAAGGAAGTTCATTTCATTCCTATCTTCCATAGTTTGTGTAGCTGTTTTTAGGTAGAATTGCTAATCAAAACTTTTTGGAAGTTAACTTAAATCTGATGTTACTTTTTCCCTTCTCTTCTGAAACAGCTGATGAGAGTTCGAACTCTCACTGGGAACACATACTACATGAGGTCAGGTGCCAAAATTGTTGGGAAAGTTCATGAGAAGTTCATGTTAATTGATGGCATTAGAGTGACAACAGGCTCCTACAGGCAAGTATTGGGGTCTGCTGGTGCAGATGAAGCTACAGGAAGGGGGAATTTCTGCAAAAAGGATGTATTAACTTTGCTTTGTGCCTGGTATTAATGAATGCCGATGGCAAGTGGACTAGCTGAGTCTAAGTAGGAGTAACACAAAACTGGAAACAGCTTTGGAACAATGGTTTACACAATTTGTTGATAGCAAAGCACTTGACCATGGCTAAATAGAGTTCTTTCTGAAGAAGAGAGAATAGTCTATCCACTTATACCTTCCTTAGGCACAGCACTTCTAAGCTGAGTTTGCTATCTGTAACTGTATGTGTTGAAATGCCCTGGACATTAACTGTGAATCTTGGTTTGTTTTCAATAGTTTCACGTGGTCTGATGGGAAGCTGAACAGCAGTAACTTGCTGCTCTTGTCAGGTCAAGTGGTTGAACATTTTGACCTCCAGTTCAGGATTCTTTATGCCCAGTCGATGCCCATCAGCCCTAAGTGGCCATCCAGGAACAGTGGGATGTTTGATCACCTGGTGAACAGACTAGAGTCCCCTAAAGAATATACTGTGGAAGGCAACTTGAGAGCAGAATTTGCCAGATTGTCTAGTACTCCAAAGAGATTGTTGAAAGAACTAGATCAGGCTGAAGATACTCCTGGAGGCAAACCCTGTAACCTGCGGCATTCTTGCCTCTGTGAAGAGGAGTTGTTTGGCGATCAAGAGGCCATAGTGGAGTGGAAAAGCATGTCGACTCAAACTGGCCCATGGGAAGAGAAGCCTGCAGTGACCGTGTGTAATGCTGCCACGCAGACCAGTGCTGTAACGGCAGAAACTGGCACTCAGACTTCTGTCACTGCGAGGATGACGGGCACTCAGACTTCAGTTCTGCTGAAGACTGCAGTGACACAGACAAAGGAAGATGAGTACACAGAAACACCCCTGCTTCACAGAAAGCTGTCAAAAGAAGGATCTTCTCTGTCTGGAAAGGCTGTATCAAGTTCTAGTCTGCGATCACTGTCTTCGTCATCATCGCAGTGCTCTCTTGCAAGCTCTACCGGCTCACTATCTTCTCTCCGGTCCTTTGAGTATTCTAGCAGTCACAGGGCAGAATATTTCCAAAAACTGCATAAAGAGAGGCAATTCCACTACTCTACTATCAGGTCAAAGCTTAGCCACATGGTGGATATCCTATCCCGGAGGAGACATGTGCCTGAAAACTACATGACCCAATACACGGGAAGATGCAATCTAAAACAGAGGCGTGACATCAGTGCCAGCCTGCGCAGCCTCCGGGACGTTTCACTCTTTTCTCTGAATAAATGATTACTGCACTGAATGCAGAACACAAAAGCTCCAGTCTCAAATTGCAGTCACTTAGTACCTGCTGATTCTTCCACTTCCTTCCAGCACTTTTACTTTTTTAATACATGTGTGTACATCACTCTCCAGCACTTTGTTTTACACTATGCAACTTAAGCAATAAAAAAAGAGGGGCTTATTTATACTGTAACTATTTGCATGTTCCTCTTACATGCATTAGTGGTGAAGGTTCATTTTAATTCTGGATGTTTAACCTGAAAAGTAAAGTTATTACTGCTTTCTAGGGTTGCTAATGCTCTGGCTTTAATTTATGTAAATTTGGAAAAATCTGAGCCAGACTGATCTTGCTCAGAGTGGCTTTGGAGATTTAGCTTACATCAAGGTATACTCAAATTTTTGTCTTTTTAATATTGGCTTCTATTTCTACTTTATCTTTGGCATGAGGGGAAATAACTCTTATAAAAAGCCATAAAGCTAATTTTATTCTAAATCTGATTTCAGAGATATATATATTAGTCTTCTACCAAAGTTGTGAGCAGTTGCAGGTTCTTATCTTCAACTGTATCCTTTTTCCATTGTTTAAGCCCTCTGAAATGGACTGAGCTAAATCACTCTTCAGTTTGATCATCCTCTCATCCCTTTGTGGAGAGAGAGAGAGAGAGAGAGAGACAAAGTATGTGTATATATATACACATCCTCAGAAGAGCATCTTTTTAAAACCAAGACCAGGAAGTAGCAACTTAACACTCCAAGATAGCTGTACCTGTTTTAGGTACAGGTCAGATGTAAATGTTTCTAGCATTCGGAACTAGAAGCTGTATTGGACCTGTAAGACTATTAATGGGAACGTATTGCTGAAGTGTTGGTGTTTTGTGCTTGCAAGTGGGAGGTGAGGTGATACCTGGAGTTCAGTGTCTTGCTGCAGCATACTTGTACTTCTCTTTTGGGATGACCAAGAACTTTGTCACTTGTGCAACTTGTTAACACAGAATTGAGACTTTTAGTCTTAGCACTGTAAAATGAGCTTCCAATTCTGGCTCTGTCTAGGAATGTCTGAACCATCTTGCTTCTGTTAAGAGACCTGTAAACAGCTTCCTTCTTTGGAGTGAATTTAGAGGTGAGACAATCACTGAGGGCATGTGACAAAGCCCCTGTTCAAAAGTAAGCTGACAGATGCACTACTAAATGTTATGAGTTGTGTTTGCTAATATTGTAGTACAAGTAAGTGTAAGAGTGGAAAAAACCCACCATTTTTCTCTTTAGACTGTCCTATCTGAAATACTGTTTCCTGCTCTGTTTATCCTTTATCCACTACTAACTTAGTTTGAGGAGCTGACGTGCCACGCTAGTTTTTGAAAATACTCTACTTTCAATATTAAATGGATCTTAGGTTAAGTTGCTTTGCAGAGACATTACCTGAATATTTTTTAGCGGTACTGTACGTGTTTGTGCCTGTTGGATTGCTTATCTGCGCAGTGCGTGGATTCTCTCTGAGTTCTGAGCTGTGCTGTTGTTCTTTAGACCTGCACCCCAGTACTTCAGTGACCAACCAGACTGAATCCTGCCAAGTCAGAGTCTGGGTAATGTATTTTCTTCTTATTTAGGGCACGTGTGTCCAGTAGATGGCACATTTCAGCTGTTGTCTTGAATATTCCCATAAACAGCAAGGAATAAACAGAAAAATATCCAAAACTCAAAAAGGCTGCAACTTAAGTGTAGAGAGCAACACTTTATTCTACTAACTTTGGCATTTCTATGTCTGAAATCTATATGGACTTAGCTACTTTTATTGCTTGGATTTCAAAGCAGCCACTCCTTCCCTAAAGCTGTAAGGCAGATGTACAAAGAGGCACGTGTGGGGAAAAAAAGCTCTGTCTGCACTTGTTTAAAGATAAGATACTTTCTTGCCTGGTCCCTGGAACACCAGGAGCGTAACAAGTTGCAGAGAGGGAGCTGAGATACACCTTCAAAGCCAACCTGGAGTTGTGTTTTTAAGAGCTCATGTTCAGCAGTGCTTGAATGTATGTAAAATCAACTTGTTTGTTCTATGTGCTTTTTAACTTTATTACACTGTGCAGCTGTTTTGGTACTGTCACAGGAACAAGAAGCAGTTTACAAATAAACTCCTCTTGCCATGGGGGTTTTCACCTGATGATTGCTGAGCTTTGTTTTCTGTTTGTGGGGCGTTTGGACTCTGGGTGACTAACGCCCGCTGCCCCCGCTGT